CTACTTTACCAAACATGATGTCTTTCTCCAGGGACTAGTCGCTCCTGATAACATGTCCAAAGTACGTGAGACAAGTCTCTCCATCCTTGCTTCTAAGTAGCATTCTGGCTGTACTTCTTCCAAGACAGATTTGTTCATTCTTCTGGCAGCCCATGATCTATTCAATATTCTTCACTAACACCAACTTTAGACTGTATCTTTTGACTCCCTGCTATTTTAGATGATATTAGTGCTCCTATTCTTTCTTCCAAGGAGCCCGGGTGGTGCAAGGTTAAGTGCTCGGATGGTAACCAAAAAGTTGGTAGTCCAAACCCACCCAGCAGCTTTGAAGGAGAAAGAACCGGTGATCTGCTCCCGTAAAGATTACAGCCAAGAAAACCCTATGAGGCAGTTCTGCTATGTCAAGTGGGGTCAAAATCAATTTAACAACATCCAGCAACAACATAAATGCTTTCTTTCACCTATCCTCTCCCCTTCTATTTCCCATAGCCTGTCTTCTGTACCTTTGCATTGTCAAGGTTGACAATATTTGCTTTCTGTTTTGTCATCATATTTAAGTTTTTCATGTTTTCTCTACAGGTTGAGTCTACCAGTTGAGTAGCATTTGACTCTATGAATAATTGTTCACTGCAGAACCAACTATTGTATTGGGATCCTTCTCTGTGCGTTTAGTATCATAACCTCTGTGCCTCTTGAAAGGAAAATACTCCTCTGTTTTCTTTTATTGTATCAGATGCCCTAAAACTATGCCACATTTGGTTGGTAAACTGATGTCTAAATACATATCAAGAAAGATCAGCAGTAGCAATAAAATTGCATAGTTAACACTCTTAAAGAATGACCTTCATGGACCTATTTGGGAGAAAAAAGTGAGAGGAAAATGATGGAAAACACAAGAAGGAAAAGAATTTAAAATAATAAGGGTACATTCAAAATGGTCAACTTTCTGAGAGTTGAACTGTATTTGAATAACTTACGTCCCCCTGTCCAGATCCAAAGATAATATTGCTGCTGCTGAAGCTTGGGCTTTGTACTGTGCCCAGAGTTTATTAATTGTCCTATTTCATTGAGGAAAAAATGCAAAGCAGACAGAACGCTGGAGTAACTAGCTGGAAATATTCCACTACTTCATGGAAAGCAGCTTTCCAAATGATTCCTGTGGAGACCAAACTCTTGGTCTAGCCAAAATAGCACTAAAATGTGCCTTGATGGTACATTAAAGAAGGAATTTCCCCCAATTTACTTGATTAAGATTTACAACCTTTCTGCTCCCTCAAACCATAGCACTGATTTTCTTTAATATCAACATACAGTTTCCTAGAAAAGATTGCTAACGGTTGCTTTCAGTTACTTATTTAAGGAGGGTTATGCCAGATACTGCTTGTATGAATTCCTGTAAAAGAATGAAATTAATTTTGTAAGTTTCATAATTAATGTTGTTCCTGTTCTGTGAGAATATGCTATTAATGTGACTTATCACTTCTTATTTTGGTATCTCTTAAAAAAACTCTTACTTTATAAATAAAACATTAAAACAATCATATAAAAGGGCAGAAATATATCTTCTATTGTTAGATCAAGCAATACTTCAATTACTTAACACCAGAGAAAATTAAAATTGCAGCTTAAATGAAACCTACAAGCTATATAGTGGAGGGAATGGAATTGTTCAAGTAATATGATATTTAAAAGAGAAGTTCCATTACCACCATTATATTCATTATGGAATATTTTAAAAAGACCACCCCTCTCCCCAAAAAAGAAGGGGGAAGGAAAAGAAAAAGAAGACTAAACAATAATTGTTATCTATAATTCATTACATTTTATTGTGTTTTGTTTTGCTTTTGAATCATATTGTCCATATAACTTTGAATCCTATTTTTATGTAAAATAATATTGCCGTTTTCCATGTTATTATGAACATAGTTTTTAATGGCTACATATTATTCTATCAAGTGTACCTACCATAATTTACTTAACTACTTTCTCATTGTTGAGCACTTAGGTTAGTTCTGTTTTCTCAATGTAAATAATGTCATGATGAGTATCTTTGCATATAATGATTTTTCTGATTTTAGACTTACTTCCTAAGATACAAGTTCCCCAGGTCAAAGGTTTAAAGGCTGATTGTTCAAATTGCATTCCAAAAAGTCAATACCAATTTACACTATTGCTAGTATTTTAAGAAATTGCCCAAATGACAGAAAAGAACTTTAAATGTATTTCAGTGGTGATTTTTGTAGTTATGTGTCAGGATGATCCAGAAAACTGTTAAAGAGTGAATATGTGGAGATAAAGCATTTGACTGACTTAACACATTTTATTTGAGTAAAGCTCAGTGTTAAGCCAAAGCCTTTAAATTTATATTCATGATGTCTCAAACATAGAAAAGTGCTTCTAATTTTTGCAATATAAAGGTAGTATGAGGACAGTGACAGAACTGAATGACTAGCCAGACACGCTGACTTAAAAGATGTAGCTAGGAGTTGAGCTCTGTACTCAGTCTGCATTGAAAAGTCTAAAGCTTTTTCACTCTCAGTTTGAGAGTTTGCCTTATTTAGAGCTATTTTTACAAAACTAGAAAATAATAGACTCAGAGAGTGAGTTTGACATTGCTAAGATGTATGCTACTATTGTCAGAAATTGCAATTAGAATTGTCTTTTATTCAAAACTGTCTTTAATTAAGCTGCTAGTTTGGTTATGTTTTCTGGAACAATAAAGGTTATATTTTGTTTTTTTAAATTAAGAATAAATGTTTAATGTATTTAAATTTAGATGATTGAAATATTTCTTTTTGGAATCTTTCTATGTTATGATTTTTGTTCATGGTAAAGGTATTTGCTTTTCACTTTTACTTGTTTTCTGCTGTTTAAAATGAAACAAACCAGAATTAAACTTTTTTGTTAAGTATTATCTTGATAAGGCGCCCTGCTGGTACAGTGGTTAAGTGCTCCACTGCTAACTGAAAGGTCAGTGGTTCAAACCCAGCATCTGCTCTATGGGAGAAATTTTCGATGTGGCAATCTGCTTCCGTAAAGATTTACAGCCTTTGAAATGCTATGGGGCAGTTCTATTCTGTCCTGTAGAGTGGCTGTGATTCAGAAATGACTTGACGGCAGTAGGTTATTGTCTTTTTAATTTGTTCACTGACTGAGAAACTAAGGCAAAATTGATCATTTTTAAACGCAGGTATTTGGTATATTCTCATATGTAAGGCTGAAGAAAAAGTGTCTTTGCTTTAAATTCTTAGAAGGGAAGTTTTTGTTTTGTTTTTTTCCTGAAGAATAGAAACATTTAACCATAATATAAAAGAGGGTTGCTTAAAATGAAAACAAACAGTGATATTTCTTTAAACTCATGCCTCATAATGACAGATCATAGACCTGGAGACTTGCTTCATGTAACATAATATATAACAAAATCACATTCTCAGTGTGTTTGTACATATGTGTATACACACACTACCAAGACTTTGGAATGATGATATAAGAAATTGTGCCCCTGTATAACATTATCACTTAATTCTGTTTAGGAGTATTAAAATAAACTAGTAAAGATTTACTTATTAAAATTATTAATTTTTGAGATGTCATTCACTTTAGAGTATGTGTATTTGAAAAAAAGAAAAATTTAGGTATTTAACATAGAAGGAAAAAATTTCAGTTCTTAGTTTTGTAACTCTGCTTTTTAATTTTATGTTCTAAAATATATCTAAAATCTATACCTATAAGCTTATTACTGTAAGCACTATAAGGGTAAGCACTTTTCAAACCACAGGATTATACAGATGTTTTTACTACTGTTGTTTTTTTTACCAGTGGTATTGCTGGTTAGAACATGAAGCTAAATGGGCTAAGGACACAATTTAGTTCTTTTATGAGCCATTTAATTTTCATCTTTTTTGTGATTATATTTCTTGAACAGGTGAGATGAAATGTAATTTAATACTCTTTTATGATGAAAAAAATACATGCCCTACTAATTGTGGGATGAAAGTATTGCTTCTATCATGAACATTATCATCATCCTACTTAGCCTGGAAAAATGATTGTCTCTGAATTACATATCCAGGTTTTAGAAACCATTGCCAATGAAAATTTACATTTGAATAACGTGGTATGCAAGTACTGTTTAACGAGGGGTGGGGTTGATCTTGAGTAATTGTTGTATTTAAATCGGTGCAATCTGTGTGGTTGTTAGACAGCCTTAGAATTGAAAACAATTCTAAGAGGGCTGTGTCTTCATGGAACATGTCTTCAAGTTTCCCAAGAAAGTGATCACTTTTGCTTTAAATTTAGTCTGACCATAAGGCAATTGTTCCTAACTTAACGACCTAAATGACTAGGCATTTGCAAAACTAATAAAAGAAGTGTTTGCACTACTTTAGTAGTTCAGACTGCCTAAGAGAAATCACAAATGTATCCATGATTAGCCCTCACAGGTTAACTTAAAAATAGATACAGAGAGATGTCAGATTGGTAGATGGTTGCTAATACGTTAATTCTGTTTGTTGACACTGGTTACCTTATAGTCATCAGAAATCTTTGTTTAATAAAACAGAAAATAATTATTAATATATGCAGTTGAGAGACAAAATCTTTCAGAATATGAGATATATTAGAGAACCATATTAAAAAGAATCCTTGGTTATTTAAAAAGAATGAAAACCATTACTACTGCATAAAAATAAAGACTTATGTTCTACAAAGACATCTGAAAATCATAAGCACTCTGGGTTATAATTTGGGGTGAAAGTTAAAGATTTGTTGCAGAAAATTATCAAAGATTTTTATATAATACCCAATTAAGTAAAATCTTTCTTGCTGTTGGCTTTATTGGTGAGTGTTATGGAGAATTTTCTTTTCTCTTGCTGTGTCTAGTCCTGGTTGGCCTGGTCATGAGAACGATACTTAGTTTGTAGTAGTGGAATAATTTCCCTTTAAGACCTGGCACTCAAATAGTTTTGTGTAAAAGTAAAAATTATAATTTCTTTTAACAGCTGTGACATCTTATGAAGACCTTGGACTCTTTGCATTTGGATTACCTGGAAAGGTATTTTTTTTTTCTCCTCATTGTGTCTAAAACCCAAATAGGCTTTTTTTCCCCTTCTGTTTCAAGTTTCAAGGTACAAATATATAGAGAAAAAAATCAGAATAAAAGGAAGGTAGAGTGAAAAATGGCGAAGTGATGGGAGCAGAAAGAGGAAGAAATCTCTGTATGTACATGCCCTTCCTAAAAACACATTAATAAATTTAATTCAGCACTTAAATCTTTTAGTATATTTCACCCTATTGAAGGAGAGCAATGACTTGAATAATTTTAAACCAGTAACAATAGCCTATTTTGAATTTTTCTTATTAACTTTAATTATATTCTCTGAGCCAATCTTCATAAAGAAAGAAGAAGTGGCCTAGGATTAAAATTATAGCATGACTATTTCTAAAACTGGTAATTAGGAGATAATTTCATTTAAGAACCCAACAGTGCTAAGAGATTATCTAGCTATCCCCTCAATTCTAGTTGAGGAAGTTAAGGCCCAGAGAAATTATCCACAGTTTGTCTGCAGTTTGTTCTGCTTGTCCACAGTTACAGAAAGCCAGTACCAGATTCTAGGACTCCAGACTCTAAATCTGTTGCTTTTCCTACTCAGAATAAGAGAAATAACACAATATTTATTGGGCACTCATTTGCAATGGGCGTATTGAACTAAGGTGGTAAAAACACTATCTTCACAGTCAGGTAATCAGAAATTAAGCATTATCGTTAGTGCTGTGATTCTTTTTTATTTCTGAAGAACAATTATACTTCTAAAACTCATATTCATTTTGATTCCAAACAGGAACTTGTTCTTTTTGTTTGTAAATCTGTTGTTTGTATTTTGTTTTTAATCTAAAAGGATACTGTATTTGTAGATGGCTAAACTAACTCCTAAGAATTTTGTCCGGGAGGAAAAAGATATAGCTAGATAATGAGGAAAAAAATCTGTATTTACATTCAAATTAATATTATTTTTGAAGTACAAAAGTAAATATTTCTATTTTATACCATGTAGATCTCATGGCTTGGACCTTAATAACCTGAAGCCTGAACAAAACAAAGTATATGTTATTTGAGGGTAAACAGTTTAATCATCGTTGCTAACAATTTCTGGTTTCTTTAAGATCAGCATGTTTGGTAAAATCAGTGGTCAGTTTCCTGCATCTAGTTCAACCAAGGAGGAAGAAAAAAATATATCAGAAAATTCTTACATGACTCTTAAGTATTATCACTGTCATCATTGTTATTTCACATTAGTATGCCCTCTGAATTCATTGTATAACAATAAAGCCTTAAAGAAGAGTGTGGATTGTTGAAAGTCCCCATTTCCTAAAACTCTAGAGTAGTTGCATTATCATTTTCATGTATGCACCCGGTTCTTAGCAGGCAGGTACACTAGACAGAGCAAACTCTGAATCAGGAGTTTGTTGTTGTTTGTTGCTTGCTTGCTTGTTTTGTATTTCCTCCTCACTTCCACATTGGATTGAAACTTCTATTTTCTTTTTTCCAAATATTATATGGATACGATATATGATATTGATAACATTGTTCTGAGAATCAAAGAGATATTTTTGAAGTGTTTTGTAGTTCTTACGGAAGATATTTAAAAGTCCATACATTTATTTATTTACTCACCAAACAAATATTTATCAAGCAAATGCTTTGTGTCATGCACTATGCTAGGCACTGAAGACACAGATAGGTTGATAGATTAATCAGTCAATCAATATCCTGACTTTCTAGATCTTAAATGCTTAAATTCGGTCAAATACTGGAGAGATAATTATCACTAAGCTGATATTATTGCTTTTTGCAATATATTAATAGAAATCCAAATTTCATTTATTACTGATAGAAGATATCTATTGCATATGAAAGGAAGTATACAAAAGTTCAAAACGGTGTTTTCACAAATAACCGTGACATACTGGAACTAACTTTTAAGAGGGTTTACATTCAGAGTTCTTCCTGGAAAATAGTAGTGTCCGTCACCACATCTCCAAAGACTCCTTGCCAGATTTTCAGACCTCAAGACCTCTAGGTCCAAATAACTTAGATTGTTTCCAAGATAGGCAAGTGCTACTACTGATGAAATTCTCAGTAGAGATGGGCCTGAAGGATGATCTGTTACCATTCAGTCCTCAGAGGCCTGAATGATCCTTGAGAGCTAGTCAGCTCCAAATGTACATTGTGCAGTTCAGATCAGCAAAGAGTTGAGTGATAGAAAAGCCTAAGTGGAAGCAGCATGTTTAACCATTTCCTTTGAGTACCTCTGATTACGAGAATGAACAAAGGACTACCTTGAGTTTCCTAGGAATCTCATCAATCGAAGATCACTAGCTAGAAAGCCTTCACGTAGAAATTAGGCCTCAGGCATATTTTGTTTGGCTCAAATCTTTTTTTTTATTTTTAACTGGTCATGAGATTTTGAAAGAATTCAGTCTTTGACTTACCTTGAAAAATCAGAAGATCTGGCTATACTGAATCTGCATTCTTACATGCCATTAACTGGTCAGAGCTGAGTAGAAGCTGCCCTCTTGAAGGGGAAAGAGTTCTTCAATATACTACAGTCCTTACTACCTCCTTTTTTATTATACTCAGCCTACTTCACATTTCTGAGTTTAAACCATTTTGCATCTATTTTCTGGATCTGAGAATGTTTGGGTTCTAGAGTTTTCTGCTGTAGGTTTTATTAATCCCTGGGGCAGGGATGCTCAAAGACTTGGTGTATGCTAAGCTGATATACTCGGAAGACCATATCATTTCCTTTTATGTAATGCAGTATTGGTACAACACACCCCAAACTATCTCAGTACACTTATAAAAGAAGTATGGTAAAACCAGCAAGAACGGGAGAATGAGACCAGATAGATTCGATTTCATTTTTTTTTTTTTTTTTTTGGTACTTCGGTAATCTACCCATTACTAGCTTTTAACACTTAAATATTTAAAAATGACTGCTAAGAAAACTTTAAAACATGTTCTTTATAGCAACAGTGGAACTATTGAAGAAAGACTTTTTATGTGATGATTATTAATTTTACGTATTATGGCTGGCAAAATTTGTTCTTTCCAATTTCTCCTCATTCATGACTTCTACATCTGTTTTTTAGTAATAGTTCTTGGACTTTAATAAAATACTGATCCTTTTATATTATTTCTTCTTTTGTCTTCTGAATATATTTGTTCTTTTATAGATGGTGGTGGCAGGCACGATAATAATTCAGAATATTGGAGGTAAGCAATGGAAAGTGTACTGCATATGCATAGATGTGATAGAGATGATTTCTTCCTTTTGGTTTATCTTACTACAGGTCTAAGCTGGAAACATTACCCGCTGTAAACATAGGTATCATCGGAAGCCCTGTTTATTGGCCTCATTACTCTTTTTTGAATCTTTTTAACAGCCCTTGTGACAATAGCTTCTAAATTAAGTTCTAGCTAAACCCTTGATTTCAGGTAATACTCCAGTCTTGTTACTAGATCTTCAACACACTTCTAAAGCATTGGCTTTCTGTGTTTGTGATAGTGATGGGGTACAGTTTAGAAAAGCTCTCTAGGTGACTCTAAAACATTTCACCTCTATTTTTGTTCCCTCTACCCCCAATGGCAAATGCTGCTTTAGAGGGAGTGGTGTTACATGGACTGTGAGCAATCAGGTATGGACAATCAATGTCCTCTTACAAGCCAGAAGTTAATAATGATCAAATGGTTTTAAAAATAAACAAATCTGAGATAAATAAGAAGCATTCTCACATATATCTTTTGTCTTGTTCCCATTAAAATCTGATCCTAGAATTGATCCTAATATTGAGAACCATGTAGAACTAAAACTGTGTTAACTATGGACCCGTAAACCAAACCTGTTGCCGTCGAGTCGATTCCAACCCATAGTGACCCTACTGGACAGAGTAGAACTGCCCCATAGGGTATCCAAGGAGCAGCTGGTGGGTTCAAACTGCCAACCTTTTGGTTAGCAACCAAGCTCTTAACCACTGTGCCACCAGGGCTCCTAATTATGGACCGTAACTTACTAAATGTATTAAAGATTTAATTCTAAAATTTGGTGTCGTGTTTATATAATGTTGTAAAGAAGTTACATAGTGCTGAACAAGGTCTTAATTTTCTTTTATCATTGACCGGAGGGCTAAGTAAATATTATTAGGTTAAAAGAAAACACAGAGAACGTTGACATGCACCTTGGATCTTACACAAGACTGTATAGTCGGAGGAAATTTTAATCTTCAAAATTGTTTAAAGATGACAGTTTTAATAAAGTTTAACTCTGATACTCAAGAGATCTGAGCTATTACACCTTGTTAAGTATTGTTGAACCATCTTAATGGGTTTGTTGATCAAGGAAAAAATCAACATTCTGTCAAAGAATTGTGTTTGCCATTGTTTTGGAATTCTTGAACTTCTGTGTTTTAAGTCTTTGAATTTTCATAGAAAAAAAATGTTATTGAATGAGATGAATGCTTTTTTGGATACCATACCAAATAATTTCCTTCCAACACATACACTTTGCACTGTACACTGGAAGTGAGGAAAACCAGTCTCTTTCTTTATAAATCTGTACAGTGTCCTTGACTTTAAGATATGCTTTGGAATTAATTATTTTAGCAAATGTGTATTGCATAACTGTGCACTGGTAATGATTTGGAACATGAATGTATATTTTAATATTTTCAAACCCTCATCATCTTCTCCATATGAGTAGTAAGAACTATTGCATTTTGCCTAGATTAGGTTGAACAATTGTTTAGTATTTTATGTAGAATTTTCAATCCAGGAATTTAGGTCCAAATTTGTGACCTTGTCACAGTACCCACTGTTGCATTCTCTATATTTTTCAGCTCGATCCCTTCCTTGTGCTCTAATCTTGTATATAACTGATATTGGGCATAACTCTATTTTAGTACTTGCTGTTATTAGATTGACATTACCTCTGTATATGCTTCTCTCCCCCACTATATTGTATACTCCTCCAGGACAAGGATTATGTCCCATTTCTGTTTATATTCCCGATACCTAGCACAATACCTGGGACTTGATAAACCTCTGTTGGACTGAATAGAGTTGAATATGATTTGTATGTGCTATTTCCAAGTACTTTTTAATATTCTAGATTTATTTATCAAGACGAGAAAAGAGTAGTAGATTGATCATTGGCTTCAAATATTTGAAAAATGAACATGAAATACTGAAAAAGAAGCTAGACTAATTCAGTATTGTCCCATAGGACAGAACTGGTTCTAACGGGTAGAAATTTTCAGTGAAGCTGGTTTGGGTTCCTCATAAGAAATACCTTTGCAATCAAATTATGTGATATGTGGATGGCTCATACTACATTGGACATGTTCGTTATCCCTGGAAGCAGTCAAACAGCTGATTGGCCACTTGTCAGAATGTTATGTATAGAAGGGATTTCTGCATTTTGTGGTGGATAAAGCATCACTCCCTCTGAACTCTAAGTTTGTTGATGTGCTTGCTTGCTTGTTTTAGAACTTTAAAAAAAAAAGTGATCTAGAAGCATTCCCAACAATTTTAAATGTCCCTCAAATTCAGAGAAGTTGGTATTACTAATTTAGTTTTCAGAATAGTGCCCTTATAATTTTCTTCACATTAGTTAAAAGTTTATTTACTGAGGGCCCCCTGAATAAAAACTGAATGTATATTTTCAGAGATTTTTTTCTTTTGTTTTGGACAGATGTGCATAAATTATTCCTTCATTATAATAGAATTGGAAGTTTGCTGTTGTGAGTACAGCAACCCAGAGCACTGGGTTGAAAGTCAGGAACCCTGAATTCTATCTAGTCCAGTCTCTGCCATTGGGTAGCCATGTGTCTTGGGGAAATCCCTCACTCTCTTGGCTTCAGTTTGCTCTTTGTAAAATGGCTGGGGGTAGGGTGGGAAGCAGGGAGCTTAGCATCACTTCTTACTCAGAAATTCTAACTTAGCACTTTGGAAAGCATATTCTTTCGGGAGATTAAAATATTTTTAGTACTGGAAAGTTAAATGGAAGGGTTATACTTGGTTAAGAAGATGATCTGACTCTTCCGTAGGTATCTTTAACAAATCAGCAACGATTACCCTAAAAACCTTTGTATATGCTGTTCTTCGTCACTAGGAAAAGGAGTGTACACCTCAGTTCTTGGGACTCCCTTTAAGATAGCTTCTTAGCCTCTGAGATCAAGTCTAGAACTCCAGCCTTAAGAAGTAGTTTCTTGATATAAATTATGTCTCTGGAACTCCTAAAGAGTTATTGCTGGCAAACCATGTATGCTTGAGAAGAAACAGCATACTTATTTGGAACTGTCTTTAATACGCTGTAAGGATCCCTGGTGGTGCAGTGGTTAAAGCAATTGACTGCTAACCAAAAGATCAGCAGTTCGAAACCACCAGAGGCTCTGTAGGAGAAAGATGTGGCAGTCTGCTTCCATAGAGATTTACAGCCTTGGAAACCCTATGGAGTCACTATGAGTCAGAATCGACTTGATGGCAGTGGGTTTGGGTTTTTTTAGTTTACTATGCCGTGCTAAAGACTTTTTAAATATTACTTCTTAAAAATGGATTTTGACTTCTTCTTTATTAATAGGGAATATAGGCAGCCTCCAGATTAAGAACATCAAATTTATGGACAACTCGTACTTACACTTTAATGTTTTGTAAATTTGCCCTCACTTTGAAATGATGGATCTAACCCCTACTTGCAACAAATTCTTCATCACAATCACCTTCACTGGCTGCATGTGCAGCTTTTGAATAATTGAAAAGGCTTTGAGCCTCTTCTTGCACTAAACAAGAAACCAAACTAAACCCACTGCCATCGAATTGATTCCAACTCATAGCAACCCTATAGGACAGAGTAGAACTGCCCCACAGGGTTTCCAAGGCTGTACATCTTTACGGAAGCAGACTGCCACATTTTCCTCCCGTGGTGCATCTGGTGGGTTTGAACTGCCAAACTTCCGGTTAGCAGCTGAGTGCTTTAACCACTGCATCACTAGGGCTCCTTTTTTGCACTAAAGTAAGGCTAAATAAGAACTGTGCACCTTTCCGACTTACCCACAAATTCTTAAAGACACACTCAGGAACGAATCTCATTTGTAACCCTGGGACTGCCCATATGTTGGATGTTTACAAGATTGTATGAAGTATAGTATCAGATTGAATTTTTACATTTCTTAAGTGCCGATTTGCATAAATTGTAGTTCAGATAGCATTTTTTGAAAGATAGATTGTTCATTATTAGTATAAATGGTCTAAGTTTTTGCAGTGGTAGTTTAGAACTGAAAAATAACAGATACTACTTAGGTCAAGCATTCCAGTAGATACTTTAAAAATAACTTATTTAGCCTTCACAACTCTTCAAAGTAGACGATATCCCCATTTTACAGAGAAGAGCTCAGAGGAATAAGTAACCTTTATCTCATGATAAAGCCCAGACTCAAACCTTGCTCTGTCTAATTCTAAAACCTTTATTCTTTCTGCTATGATATTGTAAATGTTGGAAAGTTATTAAAAAAATTAAATGTTGAGGATTTGTAAAATTTCTTGGTTACAGAACTATGTGTTGTCATTTATGTTTTCCTAACTTGACTGAGTTTCTGTTAGAGGAGCTCAATAAATAATATTTGTTGAATGAGTGAGACAATTTAACAAATTTTGCTTAAAACCTGAGATTTTACCTCAAAGAAATAATTTCGTATGCTATATAAATGATAGGAAGAAATTTGGAAGCTCATAGAATGATTTGAAGTTTAGAATTACAGGTAGTCCCCGACTTACAACGTATTCGAGTTACAACGAACAGTACTTATGACCGTCTTTTTTTGTGCGTGTGCATCTTATGGTTAGTAATATGTACTACGTACAATGCTGCAGTGTGTAAAAGGACCACACAGACAACTGTCATCTAATTTTCTGGCTAGAAATGCCACCCCCATTCCCAGGGATACTCCAGATGATTCAGAATCTTCTGTAAGTGGAGTTATTACCGCAATTGACAAAATGCCGTCGTCCATTTTTTTATGGACATGTGTTTTGTTTGTTTGCTTGTTTGTTTTATGTACGTATGTATTAAAAGGAGCCCTGGTGGTGCAGTTTAAGAGCTCGGCTGCTAACGAAAAAGTCAGCAGTTTGAATCCACCAGCTGCTCTTGGAAACCCTATGGGACAGTTCTACTCTATCCTATAAGGTCGTTGTGAGTTGTAATCAACATGACTGCAATGGGT